ACATTGAAAAAACCAAAGCGCTAAATGTACTAATTTCTAACACTCTACAACAAATACGAAAACAATTACAATTAGAACTATACAGAGCACAAAGTAAGCATAATCTATAGCATGCTATATAATATAAAGGAAAAACATTGAAAAAACAAAAACGCTAAATATACTTATTTCGAACACTCTACAACAAATACGAAAAGCACTGCAATTAGAGCTATATAGAGCACAAAGTAAGTATAATCTATAACATGCTATATAATATAAAGGAAACACATAGAAAAAACAAAAGCGCTAAATGTACTAATTTCGAACACTCTACAACAAATACGAAAAGCACTGCAATTAGAACTATATAGAGCACAAAGGAAGTATAATCTATAGCATGCTATATAATATAAAGGAAAAACATTGAAAAGAGAAAAGCGCTAAATGTACTAATTTCGAACACTCTACAACAAATACGAAAAGCACTGCAATTAGAACTGTATAGAGCACAAAGTAATTATAATCTATAAGATGCTATGTAATATAAACGAAAAACATTGAAAAAACAAAAGCGCTAAATATACTAATTTCGAACCCTCTACAACAAATACGTAAAGCACTGCAATTCGAACAATATAGAGTACAAAGTAAGTATAATCTATAACATGCTATATAATATTAATGAAAACCATTGAAAAAAACAAAGCGCTAAATATACTAATTTCGAACACTCTACAACAAATGCGAAAAGCACTTTAATTAGAGCTATATGGAGCACAAAGTAAGCATAAATGCAATTACGATTAAGTATAGACATCCTATTCCTAGATTAGATTATATGCTTGATGAACTTCAGGGTGCTGCTCTTTTTACAAAAATTGATCTTGAAAGTGGTTACCATCAGATAAGAATGAGAGAAGGAGATGAGTGGAAAACTGCTTTCAAAACTAAGCTAGGGCTGTATCAGTGGACTGTCATGCCTTTTGGCTTAACTAATGCCCCTAGTACCTTTATGAGATTGATGAATCATGTTCTTAGACCTTGCATAGGAAGGTTTGTGGTTGTTTACTTTGATGACATCTTGATCTATAGTAAGGACTTATCTGCACACATTGAGCATGTGAGAGAAGTGTTCACTTTATTGCGGCAGAACAAACTTTATGCAAATGTTGAAAAATGTGCATTTTGTGTTTCTAGTTGTCTATTCCTTGGCTATGTTTTTAGCGCACAGGGAATACAAGTCGATGAGGAGAAGATCAGAGCCATCCAGGAGTGGCCTGTCCCTACTACTGTTCGTGAAGTTCGTAGTTTCCATGGCTTGGCGGGATTCTACCGAAGGTTTATTCGTGATTTCAGTACTATTGCAGACCCTCTCACTGCTGTTATTCGCAAGGATGAACTGTTTAGTTGGGGAGAAGCGCAACAACAAGCCTTCGACAAGCTGAAATATTTGTTAACTCATGCCCCAATTCTTAAACTCCCGAACTTTGAACTAACATTTGAACTTGAATGTGATGCTTCAGGTGTAGGTATTGGAGCCGTTCTAATGCAAAATCGCCAACCTATTGCATACTTCAGCGAGAAGCTAGGTGGCGCAGCCTTGAACTACCCAACTTACGACAAGGAGTTATATGCCTTGGTTCGTGCACTTCAGGTATGGCAGCATTATCTTTTGCCGAAGGAATTTGTTATCCACTCAGATCACGAGTCCCTTAAGCATATAAAAACTCAAGCTAAACTAAATAAGAGGCATGCCAGATGGATTTCTTTTGTTGATACATTCCCTTATGTGATCAAATATAAGAAGGGAAAGGATAATGTCGTAGCTGACGCACTCTCTAGGCGCACTCACATTCTTACTATTTTGACTTCTCAATTGCTAGGGTTTTCACAGGTAAAATCATTGTATGCAAATGACAAAGATTTTTCTGACATCTTCAATAAGTGTGCCAACACTGGATTTAAAGATTTCTATTTGCATGAGGGCTATTTGTATAAGGCTAACCAGTTGTGTATTCCACAAGGTTCTATTCGAACTGTTTTAACTCACGAAGTCCATGAAGGTGGACTCATGGGGAATTTTGGAGCCACCAAAACTCTTAAACTTTTGCAGGAAAAATTTTATTGGCCAAGGATGCGTGCGGACGTGGAACAACACATTACACGTTGCATTACATGTAGACAAGCCAAATCCACAACGCTACCACATGGTTTATATAAGCCCCTGCCTACACCCGACACACCTTGGGTAGATTTGAGTATGGACTTCATTTTGGGGCTACCTCGTACAAAAGGAGGTAAGGACTCTATCATGGTTGTTGTCGATAGGTTTTCAAAAATGTCCCACTTTATTCCTTGCAATAAGACGAATGACGCAATGCATATTGCTAATTTGTTTTTCAAAGAAGTAGTTAGAATGCATGGAATTCCCCGTACGATTGTATCTGATAGGGACACTAAATCTTACGCTTTTTCTGGAAAAACTTTGGGGGAAAATTAGGGACAAAACTTCTCTTTTCTACCTCATATCACCCACAAACAGATGGTCAAACGGAAGTAACAAATCGCACCCTAGGCACTCTCCTTAGGTGTATTATCAAAAAGAATTTGCGTAGTTGGGAAAGTTGTCTCCCTCATGTTGAGTTTGCATATAATCGTGCTATCCATAGTGCTACTAACATGTCCCCTTTTGAAGTAGTGTACGGCTTCAACCCACTTTCTCCAGTTGACCTATTGCCACTACCATGTAGTGAGCGACAAAATGTTAATTTCAGGGATCGGGCACAAAAGATTCAGGAGCTTCATAAGACAGTACAAAAGGAAATTGACGCTACCAATGCGCGGAATGCAAAAGCTGCTAATCGTCACCGCAAGAAGATTGTCTTCCAACCCGGTGATTGGGTGTGGCTTCACTTACGAAAAGAGAGATTTCCGGCACAACGCAAGTCTAAGTTGTCCCCACGAGGCGATGGTCCCTTTCAAGTCGTTGAACGCATCAACGATAATGCCTACAAACTAGACCTCCCAGGTGAGTATAATGTCCATGCTACATTTAATGTTTCTGACTTGTCTCCGTTTGATGTAGGTGACGAGAGGTTGATGGGACAACCTTTTCAAGAGAGGGGGGATGATGTGACCATCATGACTGAACTGGACCCAATCATAATTCCTCCTGGACCAATCACTAAGAGCCGAGCCCGTAAATTTCAATTGGCAATAACAAAGTGTGCCAAACTTCAAATGGATGCCACTGCTGAACTCTACAACGACAATCAAAATAAACCATGCATTCTTCTGGAAATTGGATCACAAGTCCCAAGGACCATGAGGCCAGGAGCACCTTACAAGGCATTGGACCTCCCCTAAATTACTATCCCTAATTGAAGGGATCCCATGAATCAAAATCCCCTGAATGAAGGAATTTCACAGATCAAGGGATTACCAATAATCATGGGATTGCCATGAATTATGGGTCAATAATACTAAATAAGGCTAATTATAATAACTATTCCCTATATGATTTTATTTCCTTTAAGAGTGTACTTTCTTGTTTTTAAATTTCCATGGTTCCTCTATAAAAGGACCCATGATTATCATTGTAACATTATTTTCATTCCACAAAGAGATTTTATAAACTGGTTTTTTTTCAAGAGCGATTTTTGTGCCTTTTTGAAGTGTAATCTTGAGTGATTCAGTTACAGCTTCATATCCCCAAATCGAGTTGTTTCGCGTGATTTGAAACAAATCGTGGCCTCTCGAATAGTACTGGAACTATTCTTGCCTTAGCTTGTATTGTCAGCTTGTTTAGAGGATTGTGATACGTGAGCTTGATCTCTCGTGTTGCCTTCCCAACTACCTCTCAATTCAAGAGAGTCCAGTTTATCTCCATTAATATAGATATATATATGTAGTCATCCATCCCTTACTCTATCCAAATCTACAATATTATCGTTACCTATTCTTGTGGAATTCGATCCGAACAGTTATCCTTGGCAAGTTCGCATCAACAAAGTAAGTATAATCTATAGCATGCTATATAATATAAAGGAAAAACATTGAAAAAACAAAAGCGCTAAATGTACTAATTTCGAACACTCTACAACAAATACGAAAAGCACTGCAATTAGAGCTATATAGAGCACAAAGTAAGCATAACATGCTATATAATATAAAGGAAACACATAGAAAAAACAAAAGCGCTAAATGTACTAATTTCGAACACTCTACAACAAATACGAAAAGCATTACAATTAGAACTATATAGAGCACAAAGTAAGCATAATATATAGCATGCTATATAATATAAAGGAAAAACATTGAAAAAACAAAAGCGCTAAATGTACTAATTTCGAACAGTCTACAACAAATACGAAAAGCACTGCAATTAGAGCTATCACTACCAAAAAAACTGTTTTCTATTACGGCCGGAAAATCGTAACAAAAAGCCATATTTCGTGCAATTTGCGTATTTGCTACGCCTTTGTTACGACTTTTTTCCGTAATGTGTACTCGCGTAACGAATGTTTTTTGCCACGCCACTTTTCGTAACTATTACGATCGGTCAACGCTCCCTGAAGTATGGTATTTGTTACGATGTTTGTTACGAATTTTCTCTCGTAACGAAAGGTAGATCCTTCCGCGCGTGTGGCAGGACTTTTAGTTACGGTATTTGTTACGGAAGTTCCTCGCGTTACAAGTGTTTTCCATTGACCGGTTGTCAGAACTTGGTTTTTGTTACGACTATTTGTAACGGCATTGAACCCCGTAAAAAAAATATTACCTACTTATAGTCACGAAACCGTCTGTAACAACAAATATCCAAAGACCACTTTTTGTAACGATTTTCTGGCCTTTTGTTACGGAAAAATAGCGTATTGTGAAAAACAGGGGGTACGCTGCAATTGAAATTGTTCGTAACAAATGGACCTGCTGTGATGCGTATGATACGAAAATAAATTACGAATACAAAGATTGCTATAAACATCATCATCATTACGCCCCGCGCAAACATTAATTCATATTAAAATCTGAATTCCATACCTACCAACAAAGTAAAGCAACCCATAGAACAAGCCTACTAGTATCTACACATCAACAACCTGTTCCGCAAAACGTGCTTAACAGTTCAAACACAAGTAAACAACGCAATAAGCAAATACGGTTATCCATCAATCCCATTAGGCACATTTTTCACCATACGAATTCAAACCACAAAGGTCTACGCATCAATTCCAGACATAGTTCAACAAAAACTCAACACAATCCATCCAAAGACAGGTTCGACATTCAATCCATATGACAAACGGGACAATTAACATGGGTGTATCGGTACCAACATTTCAAGCCCGGCGCATGAGCTGCAATTGCCAACACAGAGATTACTTTAAGTCATACTTCTTATAAATTTCGGAAGGCAATACAAGAAAGGTATTAAAGTAGATCCTTACGTCCTTGTAGCTCCACTCAATAGGATCTTCGCCGACGACATCGCGAAGGGTAGTTGCCCCAGAAATGGTCGGCAAAATAAGGGGTGTGTCCGGGACTGACGCGGATGTCACGAAGACCTTGACCAAGGAAAGTGTGTCACCTACAGCATTCACAAGAGCAATTTTTGATTACATTCAAGCATATATATCAACAGACGTTCGAACTGTATATATAACATGTCATAACACAGACATTATAAGTGTAATACTTTGGAACTAGAACAAGAGGAGTACGTACATTCAGACATGTCGTACAGTACATGGTATTACATTCATGAGTTAGGTAGCGAAGCACATTATACCCTAATTTCCTATGTAATTGCAGCTTGATCTTTAAACCAAACATCCTTCAATAAACATGGGTCGTCATAATAGCAGTTATTTTACCACCCCTACATTAACAGTCTACATCGCTTTGGAAATCCACGGATCGTATCATTGTATACTTCTACACTTAGTGAATCCATGCTAATACGCAATATAAGGCCTGAACAGTCACGAAAACCTACGATATCTCGCTGAGGCATATTAAAAGTTTAATTAAACATCCTCAAAGATACCGGACCAACCTGGCCCAGGGGGGCAGAGCAGAAGTCCCTCTGCAACAACTTTTTTCTCACCGGTGCGGGATAATAGAAGCACATGTGTGCCGACCTACAACAGACAGGGCATATGAGTTGGATAAGGTAGTACGCAGTCAAGAGTAGCCTAAATTAGACACTGCACTGATTTCTAAGAAACTCCAGGGCGTCACGGAATCATACCGTCATGCTTGGCTCGGACACAGGCCTGGGAATCTCAGGGACTGAATCAATACGAGATGTGCCCTATCATATAACATGCCGAGGATGGTAAATTCCTTCGCCATCCAAATCTCATGGGATACTCATACCAAACAGGTCAGGGATTATGAATACTTACTGCCTGGCCAGTAACCGCTCCGGAGTTTCTGTGCATGAATGCATACACATCAGCCTTGATGGTTTTGAACTCATCCATCATTGCCTTCAGCTCCTCCATTCCATTCTGTAGTTGTTCCCACCCATGTTGGAATGCTACACTGTCTGTTAAACCAGTTGACTCGCTGCGGGGATGAGCTGAACTTGCCGCACTGTCGACCTTTGACCGCTTCTTAATCTTTCCCCCAAGGGCCCGTCGGTACAGAGTCTCCCGAACAGAGGGAGTCCGCCCTTCAGGGGGAACCTTGTTTAGCTCATTCTGTAAATAAGTCTACAGGAAAGATTTAAGTGAGGCCGAACTTGCTCTTGTTGTTAGAGATGTAAATACTGACTGAATTGTAACTAAGTTGGGAACGAATTTATTCTACCAATATCTCCTCGGTTTCTTGGTCATCCTTTCCCTTGCCTTGTGTGCGACTGGAAATCCAAATCTCCAGATTGTCGGGGTCCTTCCCCTTTGCCTTGATCTGCAACAATACAAGGCCTTCTGTCATCGAAAACATAATGAAATACAGGAGAGGAAAATATGGGGATGGAGCATGACATGACTAATTACTTAATTGTAATAAAAGGTACCTCCTCTGCCAGAGTCGTGAATGACTTCCGCCCAGTACGATGTGGAAAGCTTCTTTTCGCTACGTTCGACGCATTTTTCTTGGATTGAAGCTACGTCAATCAAAGTTATTTAGTTCTCAGTCCATGCCCGTGCAGATTTAACGTATATTAATTTGGCATGTCCCTATGCGTACCTTCACCTTCTCGTCGCGCCAATACTCAACCAACTTCGGCCACTGATCGGGCACAATCCTGCTTGAGGGAACCTTCTTCAGTGCTTCTTCATCGTCCTCGATCGGATTGAAGTAAGTTGATTTGATGCTGTATTTCCAGTGCCTCCAAACTTCCCTTAGGTCAGCCAAGACCACTTTCTCCGCTGAGTCTGGTAATCCGCTGTTACTCTGGAATGCCGTTTCACACGGTTTCCACCAGGTCCGGAGAAGATGGTAGGGCCATATATAAGAATCTATATGAAATAAAAGAACTTTCAATTTAATGAAGTTTGCATCACCTGAACCTCCATCCATGCACCCTGTCTCTTCGTCTCCGGTATCTCAGCGAACGTGGGGTAATGTAGAGGAAGTCGAGCTCCGTTGCGTGCAATGACCCCAATGGCTGTCTTGTACTCGTTTACGTCGGGTCCGACGATGCTTTTACCATCCGGCGATGTGAATACAAGCATCCTGTGATCTTTTCCCCATCCACGCGGCATTCGTGCCGCCCCTCTCCCCTGCTTTTTCTTTGACGAACCAGCTGACACAAACAAGAGATTACATGTTCTAATAAGGATATTACATGCAAAATATGAAGTCACTAAATGTAATCGGTAATCTTTGAAGGCTAATTTCCAAACCGTCGTGCGATGTCATCTCGTCCAATGGTGCCATATTGCCCGCCTCTGTTCCTGTCATCAGAGTGGGGTCGGAGCCTGGCCCTTCATCCAAGAGTGGCATATCACTCTCTGCAGTCTCCATGTCCTGCGTCGGCGGAAGTGTCTCGTCATCTGCTTGTGTGGGGGGGATTGTATCATCGTCATCCTGTGTCAGTGCCGTCGGATCAAAAAGTGATGGAACATCCCTATCATCATGTTCCTGTTGGGGTTAACAGTGTCAGCCTATTGTAGTGTTATACTGAGAGTTCAAATAAGGACATGCTTTCGGCAAAGGAACCACATTACCTCCAAAGGGCCCTCTGAATCCTGAAGCACTGCCCTTCGAGTGGAAGATGTTGGCTTCATGCTTTGACCACGAGCATCGCGCTCTTTCTCCCACTCTGATGTGATGGACCGGAGTCGCTGGAGCAGTGGCGAGACCCGAGATCCCTTCCATTTTGTCACTTTCTTTGTGGGATTGCGGATGGGCGATGGATTCCTGCTTGCGGGATGAGTTGCCTCTAGGGGGCTGTTACGTGCGGATGCCCGGGTAAAACGTCTTGCGGGAGAGACTGCCGGATCCTGTGACCCTCCAACGGCAGCACGTTGAGATTTGCCCATAACCTGCAAGACACCAGTGTTAGTTGGCAGTATGAAAACGTATATTAGGAGAAAATCAAAACACACTTATCACAACAAAGCTTATGAAGTGACATATTACGAGAAATTCACATAATAGTTACTGCAATTAATCAGGGTAAATTGCTTCAGCATACGCAAACGGGGGTAAAGAGCTTATCCGCGTTGACATATTCGGAAAAAATCATAACATACCAAACGCGCATAATGGATGCAAAGTGCTTCAGCAAATCAAGCGAAAACAGGGCCTATGAACGATGGCATGCATGTCCAAAAGTGGTTACCTATTACGTACTTCAATCACTGACCCCCCCTCCCCACATAGATGACCATCTGTTGAGATGTGTAATTTATTCTGAACTGCGAACTCGAAAAGGTTGCGTGGTTGCCAAACCATCAAAAATGGGCCAATTAGGCTATATTCGCATACTACCAAAAATGCCCGCTTATTTGATTCTGCACTAAGCACCATCATCTTCGGAGGATTCCTCCGAATCCGAAGGCGAAGTATCGGCATGGTCCATCTGCCCTGCATCTTCTACTACTTGCCCCTCAATACCTTCCCTTAGCCAGTAATCGGCTGCTCCTCTAACATTGCCTCCGTCATCTAAAGGTAACCCTGTGCTGAATCTATGATCGATCGTACTATACACGTCATACGTGTCTCGCCGTGACACCGGAACGACAACGCTCCAACCTTCATCAACCGGGTCTGCAATGTACCACACCTGAGAGGCTTGGGTCGCTAAGATGAAAGGCTCATCCGTGGGCAAGTTCTTGGGGTACATCAAATACTTAAAGTTCACACATTTATATTTGAACTCATCCTCTTTAACGCCCCTCTCCAGATCCACCCAGTCACATTTTAAAAGGAGATACTTCTGTTGATTGCTATAGTACACTTCCACAATGTCCGTAAGAATCCCGTAATATGCCACGGAACCTTCTCGTGGGTTATGGTCCCTAGCTGAGGCATAACTCACTGTATCTGCCGTAACCATAACACCTGCACACTGTGTCCTCTTCCTTGCATCCCGGTCTTGAACACGATAGCGTATTCCTGACACAATGCACGAAGAGTACCGTGTTGCATTGCATAATGGTCCACCCGCCAATGCACGGATCTCCGCTGAGATTGGGCACTCATCATTATTCGTCGGATCATCTACCTACATTTGATGTAAAGTAGTTCATGAACACTCGTGATTTCAATGTTTTTTGGGAGTGTAGTCAAGATACCACGTACGGACGATGTAGGCGGTACTCACATATGATTGAAACCAAGACGCAAATTGTTCGTTGTGCTGCTGGTGCACCTCACGTGGGGGTGCGCGAGTTCGACATGACCTAATAGTATCAAGGTGAATCCTACAGTGCAAAAATAAAAGTCGAAGATATTCAACACAGGTCGGATACGCAAACAAGTATTGTTAAATTGATGTGAAAAAACCTTCGCAACGGACTGATTTCATCTATATTTCCTAGGATGTAGCAATGAATTTGGTGCATCGTATTGTAATCAAGATTGAACCTAGAACCAAACAATCCTTTCCCGTGTTGTGTCCCGTCCTCCTCCCCTCGAGCAGCCCGGTTCTCTTTGGTCTCTATGTCTCCGAGATATCTTGAGCAGAAAGTCACGCATTCTTCCATGAGGTATCCACGTGCAATCGAACCCTCAGGTTGTGCCCTGTTCCGTACGTACCTCTTCAGAGTACCCAAGTACCGCTCAATGGGATACATCCACCGGTACTGCACCGGACCGGCCACCATAGCCTCCTCAGCCAAATGGATAGGCAGATGCTCCATTACATCAAAGAATGAAGGTGGGAATAGCTTTTCAAGATGGCATAGCGTCAAAGAAATTCTTTCTTGGATTCGCTCCAGTTCACGAACTGTGTTATGAGCTGAGCACATCGAATTGAAGAAGTTACAAAGTTCAATCAACACGAGCACAACATTTTTGGGAAGACACCTACAGGAAGTGTTGAATCAGCACCTTCAGTTATATTTAGAGGAGGCATATATCATGTTAATTAAAATAATTGCGTTTCAAGGGTATACCGTCGGGCAGCAATAGGTAGAATTCGTTGCATAAGAACATGGCAATCGTGGCTCTTAAGTCCCCATATTAGTTGTTGTTCTACCTTCACACGACGCGATAAGTTTGAACTGAACCCATGAGGTGGTCGGAGGTCCTTCAACACAGATAGGAATATCCGTTTTTCGGGGTTACTCATGGTGTACGTAGCTGCCGGCAAATATATAGCGCCCCTAGGACCCGATACCGGGTGTAAAGAACTACGTATTTGCATCAACTGTAAGTCTTTCCTCGTGTTCAGATTGTCCTTTGTTTTCCCCTTAGTTCCCAACAATGTATACAGTACATTCTCACACACATTCTTTTCAATGTGCATCAAGTCGAGGTTGTGACGTACCTCATTCTCAGACCAATAAGGGAGCTGAAAGAATATGCTCTTTTTTTTCCACACCTGTTGCTGCCCGTCCACCCCCCGGCGACGCTTGCGAGACCCCTGTGCAATGCGTTTCTCAATCAAGTCAACCGTACGATACTCAGTAGGCATATCCTGAAGCTGCTGCAGAAGTTCCGCGCCGGTCAAGCGAGAAGGCTTTCCGTCAAAGCTCATCGAACCGTCAAATGCATGTTTATCAAAGCGCATTCTATGCCCAGCCGGCAGGAACCGTCGATGCCCGCAATAGCTATACTTATGTCCATTTTTCAGGTATCTGGAATGAGTTTTTAAACCACAAACAGGGCATGCATTCGCCCCACGAGTCGGCCACCCTGACAACATACCGTAACCGGGAAAATCACTAATAGTCCACAGCAATGCAGCTCGCATCTGGAAATCCTCCTTAGTACTCGCATCGTACGTCCGAACACCATCATACCAAAGCTCCTTAAGCTCATCGATCAAAGGTTGAAGGAAGACATCAATCCGATCCCCCGGGCCATGCGGGCCGTCTATAATCGTAGAGAGGATGAACGATGGTTGCTTCATGCACAGCCACGGAGGTAGGTTATATATCACAAGTACGACGGGCCAAATACTATAACTCACACTCATATTCCCAAAAGGGTTGAAACCGTCAGTGGCCAGACCGAGGCGTACGTTGCGAATCTCCTCAGAGAACGTCGGGTACCGATGATCGAAACTCTTCCACGCAGGACTATCTGCTGGATGACGCATCTTGCCATCGTCTACACGCCCTTCGGCATGCCATCTCATAGAAGATGCAGTTTTGGAAGATACGTACCATCGCTGCAATCGCGGAATTAATGGAAAGTACCTTAACTTCTTCACTGGAGATCTATCTTTACCCTGTGTAAATCGCTTTTCCCCACACACAACACAAACCTCACGGTCAACATCTTCCCCGGTAAACAACATGCAATTGTTGATGCACGCATGGATAGTCTTGCATGTGAACCCCAAGTCCTTGGTCAGCTTATTAGCCTCATAGAAGTTCTTCGGAAGGACAACATCGTCTGGAAGTGCATCCCGTAACAGCTCTAACAGCAAATCAATAGAATTATTAGACCAGTGGCACAAAACCTTCAAGTGCAAAAGCCGTGCGATAAACGAGAGTCTACTCATCTTCTTGCACCCTGGTATGAGCTCTTTCTCTACATCTTCTAACATCTTTCTATACCCCTTACTGCCATGATGTATATGTTCATTTTCGTCATCCCTATGAGGTTCATTTCCACTGGGCCCCGGATCGGTGTGCTCTGTATATGCACACTCTCGCAATAGAAGTTCTAGTTCCTCCTCCCAACGCATTGGCATATTGTCGTTTGCAACAGCAGGGTTCACCTCTCCTTCTCCGTGGCAAGTCCAAACCTTGTAGGTTTGGTCGAATCCATAACGAATACAATGGAGCAAGACATCTCTACGAGATTTTGTTAAGCGATTTCCGCAAGATGTACAGGGGCAATAGATGCAAGATTCAGAGCTACGATCTTTAAATGCGAAATCTAAGAAAGCCCTGACCCCGTCCAAATATTGAGCGGAGATATGGTTCGCATCGTCTATCCAACTCCTATCCATCTAACAATATAATATACATGCGATTCCATCAACAAAACATGCAACCAAAAACATATAAGTACAACATAACCTTCACCGATATAATAGGAAACATGGATGCTCTTCATGACGCTAGCATTATAATTTATCACAACATTAAGGCACATGGACCAAAATCAGCAGCCCTCACCACTTAAAAATCTTCCATAGATGCAATGTAAATAGTATTATATGGATATATTTCCCGTCACAAATGCTGGGCCGTCACAAATAGACACATCAGCAGCAAGAGAGAGTGAGAAAGAAGTGAAAAAGTTTCTGAAATTGACAAGACATGGGGAGCATGGGGGGGACATCCGTGTGTATGCTGCAACCACTATATCTATCTATCTATCTATCTATATGGGACTGGAAGATGGAGATTGAGATGGAAGACGTGTACTATAAGAATTTTGAGATAGATATACATATATATATATAGAGGTACAGAAATGGCTCTCTACCGCAATTAGAGGGATACAAATAGGAATAGTACACAGCACCAAAGCCACAAGATTCACTGTATCTGTTTCCACCAAAACTGCATTTGCATCATCTTCTTCTCACATTACTACTCTCGCCCTCATCCTTTACTCTCTACTCTCTACTCCCTACTCTCAATGCAAAGTGTAAATAAGCCCTGGATTTTATCCTTAATTTATAGAAATGCTATAATGAATATATGTATGGGTGACTGTATGTGTATACGCATACTACAAATG